CGGGTGCTGGTGGCCGCTCAGTCGTCCCTTTCCCGCAGCCGGGGAGCCCGCCCCGCCGCCCCCTGCTCCCTCCGGGACACCATGGAGCTCTCCCCGTCGTCCGGAGGAGCCGCGGAGGCGCTGTCGTGGCCGGAGATGTTCTCGGGGCTGGAGTCTGACTCGCCGCTGCCCCCGGAGGATCTGGACGCTGTCGTCCCAGTCAGCGGGGCAGTGGCCGGTGGCATGCTGGATCGGATCCTTCTGGAGTCGGTGTGTCAGCAGCAGAGCTGGGTCCGGGTGTATGGTAAGGATCACAGGCCGTCGGTCTTAAAGGCCGGCGTTTCTCTCTTTCCTTGGGCTCCGTTGCATTCCCGGTGCCCATCCATCCTAGGTCAGCTGCCCACATCCCTTTTTGTTTCAGGCAATGCGTTTTTGACAAGTTTGTCCGATATAGCGCCTGGGTATGTGACTCAGTAGGATCTTTGGACCTCTTTAGATATCCACAGTTAAGTTTATGGAGTTGAACTATCCGCACGTAATTCTTAGGTGATTAATTAAGGGCACTTGCTTCTGAGCCTTTGGGAAGGTATGATGGAACACGGCACAAAACCAAGTGAATGGGATTTCATTTCCTTCCTGTTGAGTGAAGCAAGTGTGGGAACGAAGACATGAAAAAGCTTCATAGAAGATGAGCTAATGGATGAAAACAAACAGAGTGCGAGAGGGAGCCCCAGTCCAAATTCAAGGGTTTGGTAGCAGTAGGTTTATGTCCAAGCTTTTCTTTGAACCTCACTCCTCACTTATCCTGAGTGCATAGATTGTTTCAGATTGCACTATTGTTTCTGGTTTTCACTGTAAAGTGACCGGGTTGCCACTCAGCAGGTTTAAAGTGATGAACACACTAAAAACTTTCCCTTTCTGCATTCCTAGTAACCACCTTTGTAAATTAAAACTGAATGATGGCTGTGGGAACATTAAGCATGTTGGTTTTGAAAACTCATAGCCCAAGGATTTGTAGTCTGCATTCACAGTTTAGCTGTGGCTTTCCAAAATAGTGAAATAGCAAGATGTTTATCACTTAGCTCACATGACCATAAAAGACATAAGTAATGTGGCTGAATATAAGATGACCAATTTGAAGCATCTGGGATCAAATACAGTGATGAAATGCTATTCTGCAGTCATGTGCATATAAGCCTGTTAGTGATCATTGTATTATACTTATTTTTTGCTTTCATGTTTCCAAATAGGGTCTATGCTTTACAATTCAAGACCAACTTTTGCATGGTTTGCAAGTTGTCTTTTGAACGGTTCATTTGACTTCAAGACTTCATGTCCATCTCTGTGAGAAAGCTCGCAGACATTTGAGTTTTTCCCTCAGTTCTTTCACTAAATTATTAAACAATTTAGAGCAGATTAGGTCACTTTTTTTGCCTCATATTCCATATCTATAAAGTGAGTGGATTGAATATTCTGTCAAGGTCCTTTTAATTATAAAAATCAGCAACTTCTCTTACAACTAGTTCTTAGGAATTTCTGTATGTACATCTTTGTATTTTGCTGGTGTTTCTAAGTCCTTCTCTCTCTCTCTCTCTCTCTGTCTCTCTCTCCCTCCCTCTCCCTCTCTCCTTCTCTCTCTCTCCCCCTCCCTCCCTCCTGTGTGTGGTGTGTGTATTAAAGCAAGAAAGTGGGAACTGATGCGGGCTTACTCATGTCATTCTCAGCAGATTAAAAGCTTTGGTGCCTGGTGGTCCACCTGTCTGCTAATTCAGTTTAGATGTTCCCTTATAAAAGGTTGATGAGAGTCTAAGAAAATCATAAATTGGAATATATTGTGGTTACATTTTGCTATCTTCTTGTCTGTATATGCTTTCACATACTGTTTTTTTTTTAATGATGTTAGAGATAGGACCATGTTACTCTAAGAATATGTGATAATTTGGTAAGTGAATGTTCACAGAGTTGGGTGTTCTAGCAGTTATTTGAAGTATCATCCTTCACATGTAACCCATGTATGTGTATACTATCGTTTTGATAGTCTCTTCTAGAACCTGACTTGTCATATGCATGTTTTTGCACACACACAAAACATATCCCACCACACACATCTACACCTAGAAATTAGTACCGTACATCTAGGGCTGAGAACCTAATGGTGTTCTTTTTGGTTTTGTCACAGTTTGGTTGTCACTTAACTTTGTGTGAGTTGTTCTTAACCCCATGGTCCCAGGTTTCTGCAAACCTGTAGTTTGGCTTACATGCACATACATTCATACGCAAGAAGGTATTCAGAGGGAGCATTTCTATGTCAAGTGCAGAATTTCCACTGCATCATCTCTCCTTTTTTAAATGTGTGGTTTCTGTCAGCTAATTAAAAATTGTTTTTATTTACTGTTTAATACTGCTGCTTTTCTTCTAAGGAAGTTCACCCTGGACACTGCTTTGGTTGTTGATAGTTGATTACAAACATTCCAAATGAAATGACTCTTAGCTGTTTTGGGGTAGTTTTAAAATTGTATGATTGTTTGAAGTCAGAATAACAGAATGTGGAAAATCAGTTTTTAAAGCCATATTTTTTTTTATTATTTAGACAAGATCTTACTTGTTGGCCTGCAACTTGACATGTAGACCAGGCTGGTCTCAAACTCACTGAGATCTGTCTCTACCTCCAGGGTGCTGGGATTAAAGGCACAAGCTACCAAGGCCAGCTGGAAAGTACAAAATTAAGGAATATTTGTTTTTCTTGTTTCTTGTCTGCTTTGTGTATTCAAAACTGATTCTCTTGGGTCATCTTTGATCATCTACATAATTTAAAGAGATTTTTTTTCATTATGGTCCACCTATTTCAAAGAAACTCAGGAATTGGGAACCTTGTATAGAGTACATGACTGGAGGTTGAGAACTTGGCTTTTTAATTCTGGCATTGTCACAAATTGTTTCTCTAATTTTGGAGAAATAGTTTTAATTCCTTGGCTCTTAAGTTTGTGCATCAGATGTAGAATCTGGTTTAATTGGTCCCATTTTTTTTATTATCAAAACACTTTAAAAGATTTTATTGTTAAAATGTACAGTAAACATCAGTGATAAAGGTCTTATTCTGGAAGCTTTATCTCATCTAGTATAATACTGTTTCAATACATTTATCTGTGGTTTCTTAAGAAATAAATATGTCAAAATAAAATGAGTATGCCTATTGTTGGCTTACAGAGGAAGTTTCTCCTGTATTCTATAAACCATAGAGTTGTTAATCATCTCAAGCTTTAGATGCAATGTATGTGTGGTTTAGTGATGCAGTTATGACCCTAGATATCTGAGTTCTATTTTCATGAGTCCATGTGACTTGTTCTTGGTGACTTAGGAAATCATTTAGCTTCATGGAGAATTGGTCCCATTATTTAACTGCTACTTGGCTTACAAATTCCATTCTGACTTTTGAAACCAGTCACTGAGCAAGCTCTTAATCATCATCGTTGTCAGGAGGACTTTTGGGGAGCACTTTTATCAAAAGGACAGTGAACTGAATTGAAAGAAGGAAAGTCAGAGTGAGATGTGTATTTGCTTGGGATGTTGTCACACGTTAGGAAGGTAGGGGTAGGATGTTGCTCAGGTCTGATTTACACAGTGCAGACACCCACATGGTTTTAAAGGTAGACTCTACTGAAAAGTGGTGTTGAGTGTTGCTGGATGCTGGGTATAGCTCACATTCTCTTTGAGACTTTTTTTTTTGAAAAACGCTAACAAGTATTTCTCTCTAAGGGTATTGCATAGACACTTTTAGGAGCAGTAGTTTCTTATTTTACTTCACAAATCTGAAGACTGGCATTGTTTTGCTTTGGCTCTTTGGTTGATAATACATCCAGAGCTTTGTGTATTGCCATGATTTAGAAAACTTCTTTGGGATATGTTCAGAGCTTTGTAGTAGGTGGATCTATATTTAGAGCACAAACAAATGCAAATCTTTGAGACACAGCTAAGAGAAAATGTTTATGCTGTCCTTTATTTGAGTAAAACGTTTCATTCCAGTATTACAGTAATTGTGCCCATGTCCTGTTAAGACTATAAATTTTTGACACTGGGTAGTCTGTCTTGTTTATAGTCATACCTTGCCACTCCTTATTGCCATCAGGTCTAGCAGATTAGTCCTTTGCCTCATAGTAAATAGGTGCTGAATATTAATCCATCTTCCCTTTGACCATGTAGAGCTCAACCTGATTGATTTTATGAGTGGTAGACTAGCTTAAACAAAGACATGCCACAAACAGCTAAATATGGATTCAGAAACCAAGAGCATCAAATGCAGAACATTTCCCAGATATTTATAGCGTCAAAGCAAAGTCAATTGGCTGCAAAAGCTCAGCAGGCTAGCAAAAGGAAACAGGAGTGGCAAAGTAAGCCTTACTGTCTATGCTTTCTGGTAAACAATGAGAACATTAAAACGAACTACTCCATCGTGAATGGATGGCAAGAGTGGGATACCCCGGGAGTGATTTAAGCTACTCTAGAATTGTCTGAGGTAGTGCTCTGCACTCATCAGTGTAACAGGTTTTCCAAGTGTGTGCGCTGATGACTGTTGGAAAGTTAGAGACCAATCACATTGAAGAGTGAACAAGAATCTTATACTTTAAAATTTTGATATTACCGTTAGGATTTATCTCAAGTATTTAGTTAATAAAATAAGTAACAACATTAGCATTAGGTTAGTGTAGATCTCTGTTTTTATTGGTTGCAAAAAGAAGCTGCTGGAAAGTTTCTAAAAGTTGGTAGGTACTATTTCAGCAAACACAAGAAAAAGGAAATTAATTATACTTCATTAAGTACCATGGACTTCTAGAAATATAGACAGTGGGAGTTGGTAAGCATTTCTCCTGTGAGCTGATGGCATGGAAGTCTTATGTAATTGTAGTATATGATATTTAATATGTTTCAGGACTTAAGTCAAAGGTGAAGTCTAGTTTTTGCACTTCTAGAGACTTGGTATTTATTTAAGATGTTATGACCAGCAGCAAGTCCAGGAAGCAGTTTTACTTTGGTCCACTTTGTTCACTATGTTTTTTTATCCTTTTTTTTTCTTCCCCGAGACAGAGTTTCTCTTTGTAGTCCTGATGTCCTAGAACTTGCTCTGTACACCATGCTGGCTGACCTCAGAAATCCACCTGCCTCTGCTTTCGGAGTGCTGGGATTAGAGAGGAAAGGCTTTTGAAGAACACTTGGCTTCATTTTGGCTCACTATGAATTAGATGTGGTTCACTTGCTGGCTTTTAATAAGATGTTTTTAGTTAACTTTGGATGCTACTAGTGACTAAT